TTGGGTTGCCCCGTGTGCGGGACGAGTAACACGCGAAAAAGTGCTCCGAATTATTTCGAATGTACATCGCGGAATAAAGATTTAGAATTCAGGATATTAATGCGTAACAGTATACATGGAATTAGACATTTTTTGATCGTTTTTCTAGCTTATATAAAGTTTGAATATTTTATAGAAATTTTTACATTCGACATAAAAATTCTCCGTTTTATCCTCATATATATATGTATATATAAATTTTAAAGCTTTTATATAACCGATTTTAATCTTTTGTTTCATTTATTATTCGTTATTTTTTGTATATAATTTACATGTCATCATTTTAGCGTAGACAGACAATTAATATAAGATTTAAAAGTTTGGAACTTATTTTTTTAAATAATTTATATATTTACATTTTATAGTTATAAAAGTTTTCAAACACCAAAGTATTTTTGTAAGGGTGTCACAAATAATAAAAATTATATCGAAAATAAGAGCTATTTGAAAAATTACGATTTTACTTGTCAATTTTTTATAGACAGCTGGAAACGTCATATCATGTTGTAAACTGAGATGCGTACATTTTTAATCGTTTTGTGTATACGTCAGAATTCTTCATAAAACAATGTAGGTGTAAAATTCACATTTAGAAACGTGACTGACTCAAACTAATGCATGTTACATATATGGATTTCAAGACTTATAACGTATCTATATATATAATTTTACTTTTGGAATGATTTAATTTTCAACGGAATGAAAATATGATTAAATTAATCGTGACAGACAAGTGTAACTTTTTTCGTATTACAACAACAAATTTTTCTTCGATAAATCACATATTCAGATTTACTCAATTCTCAGCAATATTGATTAAACGAAACGATGTCTGGCGTTTTTGTAAAAATAGATGTGATTTTTGCGCAAGTTACAAAAAGAATTCGAATTTAATTATGAAACTTATATTTTTTCTTTTTTCTTTTCAATAAATATCATATACTTTTCATGTCTTTTTTATTTTGTTAAAAAATATCATTTTTCCATATTTCTGTAGATGCAAAATTTTAGAATAAACTGTATTTTAATGTTTTATGCTGCATATTCGATTAAATTATCGCTTTAATTTAAAAGATAACAAAAATTAGCTTTGCGCATCTAGCGTTTATTTATTATTATGTTTTAATTTATATTTCATTGCTGTACAAATATCGTTTTGTGAAAACCGTAATTAGTCAAATTGCAATGAAACAAATATTGACAGCTGATCGCATCTATGAATGTATTTATCGGAAAATCCTGTCTCAACACAAACCGTTTATTGATGACGAATAAACACAGGTATCTGACAATCGATATGATAGACCTTTGTTACATATATCGTAAAGAAAGAAAAAATGTGAAGATATAAGCGATGTCAGTAAAGAACATGTGGATGAACTTGATTTATAAATATTGCTCATGAATATTCAAGTTTGAATAATATTGTGCTTTGAGTGTTCCTGATTTTTTTACATTTAATCCACTAACATATTTTACACTTAAATAAAAGAAATTGAGAAATATGAGTTATAAGTATTCATGCACTATATATTATCTTTAAAGTAATAATATAAATGGTTCTGAATAATAATTAGAAATAGATTAAATATTTAGAAAATTCCAAAAAATATATTTAATAACTACATAGATTGTTCGAATTTATATATCTTTCTGTCGATACAATAAAAGAATTTTCGCAATATATGGAAACACTAATTCGTTCTATCCCGCGTAAAAAATTCGCAAAATTTGAAACTTGCGACAAATAGAATAGAATATATTTTTATTGAATATTTGGGCCCGCGCTCCCTCTAAATCGATCAGATCGATTGTAATAGTAACCAGTCGCATTTTCCACATTGCGGGAAAATAACTGTGTCCCCTGTCATCCGGATTTCGCGCCCCTTTCGCTTTTGTGTGCAGCGCAAATCCTCTTGAATGTGGAAAGCGGCGCGATCGTACAAATGGCGTTGTCGCCTCGACCGTCAAAAGTTACACCGGCATTCTGCGGCGTGGATCGCTATAAACAATAGTCGACGGAAGCGACGACATCATCGAGCCGGATATAATTTCGTTTGAAACGAGCGCCGGGTGCGTTATACCGCGCATCAGTCTATCTGTAACAAGAAATTGTAAAATCGAAGTCTGTAAAAAATCGCGAAAATTTCGTATAATAAATCTCGCCTCGAGGCTTCCATTAAAAACCAACCGGTTTGATATATCGGTGGAACGACCAAAAGAAAAAAAAGCGAAGATTCGCTGTTGCTGCAATTCGCTATGATATAGGATTCAAATGGTATTTGTATATAGGAATACGCAAAATGATCGAAAAGTAGCCTGTACATATTTCCCCGATGCCAGATTTTTTTTGTCGAACTCTTGAGAGTTTTATTAGACTTATATTTTCTACGTGTTTTGCAATTCGTTAAAATTTTCGTTTGTTGACATCGCGTATTTAGCTTCTCTTGTGCTGTATTTATTTCTGTATGTATCTTTAGACGGTATTATTTGGTGAAGGATGATAATAAACACACGATCTCGGAAATGAAATATTTGTTTTGATAGTCGAACGTTGATGAGAGACACAGGCACAGTCATGAAGTGTTTGTAGCGAGCAATCAAGTTGTAACCTTCTATTCTTTCTTTCATATTACTCATATACAACATTACACGAGTATTTTGTCGACATTTTTATTTTTCTCATTTTTTCGTTTTATTTAATAATTCGCAATTTTGTTACAAATCTTATTAATCTTTAATACTCCAAATAATGTTGCAACTAAGAAATGAATTGTCATACTTCATACTACAGATCTCGAACCTTTATTAAGGCAAGTAGAGCATTTCAAAAAGTTGGAAAATTCATCTCGGTTGAAATAGAAACGAGAAAAATACGTTACTGCTCGAATGTTCGCTCTTCTGAAGAACAGCTCGAAAGAGAGCTCAAGCCTGGAACGTGTAAACAGAAAAAGGTATCCTAATGAGAGGCGATTCCGAACGAAGAAATTCATCGGTGGTTCGCAGAACCCGGAAATGTGCGGTTCCCACTGCCAGGCTCGGTTCTAAAACGCCGTAAGAAGAATAGGAGCAAAAAAAACGGCTCTTTATCGCCTTCTTTCGGTCGCGGACGATCGACAGACGACGTCGTTCGGCGACCGTTTCACGTGGGGATAACCGGAAAATGGAGAAGTACCAGGCGAAGGACTGCGCGAAAGCCCGTCTTCTCTTTCCGTTCTCTTTCGAGCGGCTTTACCACGAAGGGAACCATTATACCGATCGGTTGGCGCGCGAGTTCGGCAATTTTTTTCGCCGAGGATTAACTCGTTCGTTGTATTAATGACTGCGCAGCACGGGATTATCCGTCGGGATTTCTCCGTGCGGGTCCGTCTTTCACGCGGAACGAATCTCTCTCGTAAAATTGATTGCGCTTACGCGAGTAGTCGGAGAGCCGCCGGAAAAAGACCGCGACTGAAGAGGAAAGATAGGGAGTTCTCCGACCGGCGTTGAATGATGATGAATTAAAACTGAATTTCAAACGCTACGACCTTTCTCCTTTTCAACGAGACGATTAAATATCATTATAAATCGATACGTTATATACTTTGTCGACAAAGGGCGAGATGAAAAAATTGCAGAAGGGAGAGTAAGAAGAAATTCCTCTCTAGAGACACAGATGAGAAAGGGAGACTTGTCGAGAAATTTATTCGTTCCCCCGAGGTTTGCGGTTATTAATTATTTTTACCGAGTAATTTCACCGTAATTGGCATTCTCCCTATCGGACGCGCTTGGTTCGTGACGCCTCTGTTGGGAGGAAAAAAAATGGCAACTTTTGTTACGGTGTTGCGTGTTATCGACACAATGCGATGTGTGTCGAAATTCATTGCGTATAGGAATAGAGTCGGCACACGCGCGAATCGATCTTTATTCGCGCATAGCACGCAATTTGTAATAAGTATAGAAACAGTCTGACCATTAAATTCTCTCTGCGTGTATTTCATTCTCACGCTCGCGACAATTTCTTACGGATCGATTTTACTTACGCTCGACTGACTTCCATTCCTTCTTTGCGTTTCAATATGGTACGCGAGGAAAGGAAGGTATTTAATTAGAATTAATCATTAATGACCGGGTAACGTAACGTTTCTCAACGACATAACCGCCGTTTGCAATTCAATTTAAAGACTGCCGTTGCTCGAAAGTTGTTTTCTACACTTTCTTTCCGCGAAATACGAATATCGAAGTCGATTAAATGGTGAACTATTTAAGAACTTTGCAGAATTAAGAATGCGGAAAACCACGAACAATTTTTAATCGGGCATAAAAAGGGTATAGTTTGATCATTATTATAATTTTACTAATCATTTAGCGTTTTCATCATAATCTAGCCTAACCAGAATGCTTTAACGCAAAAAACGTGACGAAAGAAGCTATTTTTTTAGCCACGTAGTATTTGTAAAAAAATTATTTTAGTGATTATAAGGAAAATTTATTTCAGACCTGGTACATTATACATCTTAAAAATAATATTTAAAATAACAATGCACTAGTCTCTAAAAAATATTCGGCAAATAATATAAAAAAGCAATGCAAAAGATATTTCTTTAACAAGACAACTGACGCTAATTACTTGCTATCACACATTAATTTTCAATTTCTGAACGTTTTAACAATTAAATTTTAAACTAAATTTCCGCCAAAACTCTCTCAAGCGCACTAGAATTTATCAGAGGATTGAATCTCTCTTGTGTCTACAGAAGTTGATCTAGTTGTTCTCAAACATATATTATTAATGATACCATGATAGATAGTATATACCGGCAAAATAGTAAGAGGATAATTGTGTAAAATTATAGAAGCAATAACTTATAATACGATAGAGATTTGAGAACGACTGGTCATCGATTGAGCTGACTTGATACGCTTCGAGACGAACGTTCGGCGATTAAAAATAAAGGAGACGTGCTCTTTTCTCATTTCAGAACCTTGCGAGAAGACTTACTGCGCTTGGGGCGCGACGTGCGTCGTGTCCGAAAACGGCAAGGGTGTGTGTCATTGTCCTGCGGATTGTCCTTTGACTCCCGATCCTGTCTGCGGCTCCGACGACGTGACCTACACGAGCTACTGTCACCTACGACAGGCGAACTGCCTCAAGAGAAAAAACACCAGAGTGAAGAATCAGGGCGCATGCGGTGAGTGTATATTCTACTGTTGTTTTTTGTAAAACGTGTCTGCCTAGAAAAATGATATCGTTTAGAAAAGAAATGATAAAACTGAGCTCTGTCAAAAATATACAGAATACATCATTTACATTAGTAAACATTTTTCTAATCTCTCTACTCGATTCTGATTCACATTTTTGTGTCGAATATCGCATTGCCAATTTATATATATATATATATATATATATATATATATATATATATATATATATATAAAGATACAAGTGGCTAATTTTTTATTTAACCTGGATATTGTTTTAATTAAACAAAAATCAATTCAAGAGTTTGATGTCTTTGATTGTTTTTCTGAAATGGAAATATTCTCTGTTTTCTCCTTTTTATTATTATTGAAGACACAATGAGTTTTAATATCACAATATTTGTTTGATTCATTTATCTTGTTATGAATTATGAATATATTTTATTATTTTATCAATGTTGCTATTTGTAATAAAAATATAGATTGCAACGTTATTTACGATATTACCATAACGATAATATTTTTCTGGCTTTTTTCGAATGACATATTATTCGCTTGGATATTACTTGCCATGAGAACGAAAACTGTTCTCGAAAGCGTAGTGCGGCCAATCGAAAAAGATTTTCAGGGATATAAATAAAATATTTAAAATGTAACATACACACATCGATTTCTCCACATATTTAATTTTTGATTGATTATTATCCTCACTTTTATAAGGAACCACGTTATTTATATACAATATATTATTCCAAATATATATGTAAAAACTACTGCTTCCGAAAAAGCTTATATGCTAAAACGAAATAAGTTTTTCGTTCAGCTATAAATCAACTATAATCGTACAAGCATAACACAAACTTAATATTATCGAATTTTCTGACTACACTATAAGCAGTTAGAAATCTTTTACAAAGTAAAGTGAAAGAATACCGATGAAAGATTAATGTTGTCGATTTAACGTCACGCTGAAGGTTTTAAGACGAGTTACTTATCGCGAGACCCATTATACTTCGCATTACTCATCCAGGGTTAAGCGGTGACAAAGCCAAGCTAAAACTTTCAAGCCCGACTCTCGGATCTGTCGTAGGTCGCGGTGTGTTGGCAGCCTTTTAAACTTTAATTCGTTCAACATGCTCGCCCAAGTGCTTCCCGATCCTCGAGATCTTTCTCCAGGATTCAGCAGAATATCTGAGAACTAAACGCGCGGTACTTGGCAAAAAATCGGAGAAAAGAGAGTGAGAGAGAGAGACATGTACGCGAAAGCCACAGGGAGACAGGACTTGGTATACTACGAAACGTACTTTATCACTCTCCGCTCTCTTTTTGCTCGTCTATCCCGCGGGATTTCCGGTCTGCCATGAATTAACCAGCATCCGATACGCGATTTTTACTCCCGGTCTCGTCTCGATCCCGCTGCGCGCTGATTCTCAAAACGATCTTTTATTCAAGACGAGGCTGTATGCGCTTGTTGTTCGTCCCGTTTATATGCACGGTAGGGGGTGTTCCTTTTGAACATCAACGACGGAGAGAAATTCTCGGGAGAATCGCGTGGGGTGTTACGTAAATGGAATGCGTTACCACTATTCTCCCTTTCCCTTCTGCGTATTTGTGCGGGAGTATCCATCCATGGCAAATTATGGCGATAACACGCACGAGGGAATCCCTGCCGATGCAAATTCTTCCTGACGCCTCCCTCGCAAATGCGGGATTCACGCGGGCGAATCACGACGCGTAATGCGCTACAATCGGAGTAATAGCGCGATTGGATCTCGCTTTGATCTCCGAATTCGCGCGTTCCATCGTTCACGATAAGTGTTAACTCCCTCGATTAACATGTATCGATCCGGGGGATTAAACTTCGTGTCGTAAACTTCAGGAACCGGATAAGCGCTGAGAGACAAGACGATTCTGATGAGAGACTGCGAATTTTTTTATAGTTACAATTTCTCAGACTTTACGATCTCTCTTGATTAATATCCCACGTCGGCGACGTGAATCTTCTTTTGAAAACGTCCTACAAAGACGCCCATTTTCCACGTCATTGTCTTCGTCGTGGACGCCGGTTCAAGTTTCTCGCGGGAGGGTGATTCAGCCGTACTTAACGTTCTCGCACACAATCTTACACGGCCCGTTTCAATTAATCGCCGCTCCAAAGACGGCGTGTCTTGAAAGACCGGGCGATGCGGACAAGGTCATGAAAACTCAAGTACCTATCTAGCGTTAAAAGGACGTGCGAAGCTGCAAGGTCGTGAACCTTCCGTCCGACTGGCGCACAATGCTAAGCGCTCCTTATCGTACGTTTTGAACGTCTCGAGATTCTACTTCGTTACTTCGAAGTTCCTCCAAAGTATGCAGACGTATTGTAAAAGTTAATCGAAAAATTTAGCGCTACAGCAATTTATTCGTTTTTTTTTTTTTTTTTTTTTTTTTTTTTTGAGAAAATTAAATTTATATAGAAAATATAAGTATGCTGCCTTCTAAGCCGGGCAATAGAGCCAAGGAAACGAAACGAAAAATTAATTAAACGGAACTGTATCTCAATTTGAGATCCCAAAGTTCCACATATAAATTAATTTCGAAACTTACATATGGAGAAATAAGCGAGAAAAATATAGGTCCGAAAAGTCGCTGAAGCGGGAATCGAACCCGCGTCTTTCACTTTCCGGGCGACTGCTTTTACCAAGCTCTCCATATGTAAGTTTCGAAATTAATTTATATGTGGAACTTTGGGATCTCAAATTGAGATACAGTTCCGTTTAATTAATTTTTCGTTTCGTTTCCTTGGCTCTATTGCCCGGCTTAGAAGGCAGCATACTTATATTCTTTATATTGAGAGCCGATAAAAATATTTATTTCTGAGTTAAATTTATATATAGAATAAATTTAATATTTTTTAATTAAAACGAAGAGTAAAAAAAGATGAAACCACTTTTACATTGAGAATTTTTCCATCACGGTATTTGTATATTTTTACTTCGTAATACTTTCCTCGTGAACTTAAGAAAATAAAAATCGATATATAATCTTTGATATAATCTAAAATAATCATTGTAGAACATCTAAATTCGGCTTAATAAGATATAAACGATATTTCGAATTTGGAGCGAGACCTTTCGCAGTTCTTGTATAATATTCTGGTTTCATTATGCTGAAATCGCGTTCAGCGCTTTATGAAAAGCGAGTATGGATTTTCGTTTTCGTAAACGTGACTCGCATTAGTCGACTGTCATTCTGCAGGATGAACTCATAATCATGCCGCATACACAATACAGTAGGCAATCTAGAGACAAATGAGGGAGAAGAGAAGTGGATGTAATGATGGGAGGAAGCAGCGACACAAAAGGACAGAGATATCGTTCAGAAATGAGAGGAATATAAAATCGCGACGCAGAACTTCTTGCTCGCTCGTAGATATCCGTGCAAGCACACATGTAGTTTTCTCCTCTCTTTGCTCACCTCGTATTATTTCGTCCTCTGTGTTTTCCACCCCGCACTCGCTCCTATTTCACACGCGACATATATAGAACGTTTCTTATTCGCGCGACCGCCTATCCAGCCTTCAAGCCGGCAGTCGTCCTACAAGCAACTTGGTACGTAAATTATTATGCGAACAAACAATGCGAAACGAGCGTTCCAACGTCCCATAAAACAACACGAATCCCAAGCGATTTTCGTGTCTTGGTATCTTTCTCGAATTACCGCCATCTTACTTCGTTCGTTTAGAATCTTTTAGCGAGATATGATATCCGCAAATTCTCTATTGTAAGATCATATTACCGCGATTCCGAGCCAATCCTTTGACCGTCGCACGCATCGCGAAATATTTATTAAACTTTCAATTTTCCTAGGTAGACTTATCTGTTAACTTCGCAATTTAAACTTGTAAAAGTCATACTTCTGATTAAAAAATAAAATTTTTATCATAATGGTAAAACTTTAAAGTTTTGTTCTCTCTCTCTCTCTCTCTCTCTCTCTTCAGAAAGTAATTAAATTGATTAATTTTATTAATCGTTGGCTTTATTCTAAAATATCTATTCAAACTATCAGTATATTATCAAAGTATATCAATATCGTATTATTACTGAAAAATGAAAAGATGACAGCGTCATGATTTTAAAATTATATATCACGTTTTTCCTTCTTCTATTTTGCTTATATTTTTGCAATATTTCACCGTTCTTGTTCTGCAAAACTCTTGCGTATACCCGTCATTAATCAACTCATCCCATCATAGATTCTTCAAGGAAGCGAACGACGAAGGTAGATGAGTCGTATAGATGAAGAAGCGCGGAAGTAAAATGAATGATAAGCGTCGTCTTAAGCGCAAGCTTCCGTCCCCTCGTACTTTTACCTACTGAAGAAACAGAAAGCCATTCCTCCATTCCTCTCTTACGCGCGCGCGCGCGCAGAGAGCTTTATCTGTTTATTTCAGACGCTGCGTGATGTGCCTCTCGTTGCTTAGTCTATATTCACGATGGTAGAATCTATAATTTAGTCGGTGCAGGATCCGACCTCCAAAGGGATCAAGGCGACGCCCTATATAATTCAATCCGCACGGAAATAGAGACAGCGCGAGCTCGCTATAAAATCTACGAATAAATTATGCACCCCCGATGTCGAAGCTGTTGTGGCTATCGCAATTTAAAGACGTTCTTTTATGTATTCGCGACATAAAACGTCATATATATATTTTAGAAAATTTTTCTGTTCTATTATTCGACGATCCATATTCTTTCAATGTCAAAATTATTGTAAAATTTTTCGTTTGACATTTCACATTAGAGTGTAAAAATTGTGCCCTTTATGAAGTCCGATGTTTTATCTAGTCAGTGTAAAAAGACAGTGGTTGTAATTCAATCGTGAAGCTCATGTTGCGAGGAAACGAAGAGATCGGAAAGCTGTCCACTATAATTCAATCAAACGCGACATACGCGAGATACGCGACGTTTCGAGATCGAGTACAGAGAGTTACAGAGGATTGATACTCATCTCGCTTAATGTTAGGGAACAGAAAGTACGAGAAACTGCTTTATGAAGCCATAGTTTTAAAAGCTTTTTTTTTAATGAGATTATAGCAAACGAGTTCTGGAGATTTGCTAGTGATGGAACGGTGATAAGATTTGTACTACCGTAGAGAACAAAAATTGCCTAATTTCAAAATAATCTACACTCATTTTGTCAAATAACTATTTTGAAACAAATTTAAAGCTAATTTTTCTTTAATAAAAATATTTATCATTTTTGTAGAATAATTAAAAATATAAAATATAATACTTGTTTTACATCAGATAAATTTGTACAAATAATGCAAATGGAAAGAAAATAAAAAATTTAATGTTCAGAAATAAAAGACAATGCGATCATACAAGACTGGAATTTATAATATGTATGATCAATTCGCGCAGTTTTTTGTTATTTATACTTATAAAATAATTAATAATATATTATGTTTTATTCAATATTCGATTCTGTCAATTCTGTCCATCTAATATAAAAAAATTGTCAAAAATGGAATTATATTTTAATTCTAAGAGAAAAAGGAGAGATATTTTAATTTTATTGATTATGAAGTACTCTGTTTTATTCTTGAATATTTTATATACACTTGATGAATTTTTTCGCCCACTATAAAGTTGCTATTTATAAATAACAAAAATACTTTATTGTAAAATACTTTATTCAAAAATGTATGAGATGAGAAAGGAAAAAATATTATCTAGAAAAAGCAAAGTTAATTATACATGAAGAAACATCTAATAAAACAATCCCGAGCGTGTAATTCATTATTTATTTTTTCACAATCGCAAATATCTGATACATCAAAATTCGCAAAATATGTTACGCTTGAACACTTGCTCGAATAAGATTGCATTTTAAATTAATTTTTCTACGCGTTCGTAAATTCAACAGATTTTTCCTAAACATGAAAAACTTGTTAGCAAAATAAATTTAATTGATCGCAATTGAGTTGAATAGTAGATATTTTGAATAAGCTCCTTGTCTAGTAACTTTTTTTTCAAGCATATATATATACATATATTACACAAAATTAGTCACAACAATATTATGAAACATAATTATAAAAGTAATTAAAAAATTTAGAATTATAATACTCAAAGAATAAATATTGCATATCCATTTAAAATTCACCACAATTTTTCTATAATTGTACCTTTTGGTCTCTCGGGGCATAAAACGTGAGCGCTTCACGCCACTTGACAGCAGTGATAAAATTAAGGTATATTAGATGAGAGCGTGAAAAACGATGAAAATTCCAATTACCGTGAACTCGTCTTTTCTTTCCTCACGATAGTGTATGAACAGTGGAGCGAAAATGGCGAGAAATTAAATTAATTTTATCGGCTTAGGCCTTTTCCTATCCGGATGCCACCCTCTAATCCCTGCTCTTCCGACTCATGTCACGTCACCGGAAGCATTTCCCTATCGCTTCTATTTCTTGTCTTTCCGAAATTTACTCAAGAGAAGAAGGACATTAATGAATAATTCGATATACTTGAAATACTCCTGGCTCCGATTTTACTAAAATCTTTTATATACATATTTAATATATAAAAAAATTTATGTAAGAAATGTTTAAAATATTACACATTCTCTTGTCACAGATTTTTTTAAGGTCGTCCAACAAAAATGTAATTTTTCTTAATTTCTGTATATTTTCTTTCATAAATGTATATCTATATCTATCAACTTAAGAGTAGAAAATTTGTAATAAATTTCTCGTAGGATTCTCAAGAAATCTTACATTTCTCGCTATTGCAAAATTAGACTAATTTGCTTATATTGGAATAGAGAACTTCTTCAATTAACACACTCTCGTTCCAATTATATGCATAATTACTTTCTATCGAAATTCTCCTAAAAATTAACCTCTCACGCAGTTATTCAAATTAGATCTTAATCTCAACTGGCACTCGACATCGATAGCAGAAAATAATCCAAGAGATGCTGAAGAGGTCAGCGATACTGTGATCGGCAAATTTTCACAATTTCACTATCGAGTACGACGGAAAATTGCAATTTTCATTGAAAAAAGAGAGACGGAGATCGACAAAGATAAATAGACAGATAGATAAAGGCAAAAGGAGAGCGCAATTAAATTAATCATTATCTATGTCTCGTCGCGGCACACTTTATTACGTTTCTCGACTCTCGAAGTTGCTCGACCCCGACGACCAAGTTTTATCAAACTTTAGCCGATGATGAACGACCGATGTACTCGTCTGGGTCGACCCGCCGATGGTGTCAAGCGATCAAAGTCGAATGCGCGCAATACCGCGCGTTTTTCCATCGCGGCGCGGACACGGCAGGATCGAGCGATCGCAAAAAGAACGTTTTTTACGGCCTTTAAAATGAAGCTCTGTCCACCGTGCCGGACGCGCATTTGGGTCACTGAAGTGCAGTTTTTGCCGGGGTCGCGTCGGTGTTAAACGATTCTCGCGAAATCCACGTGGTGAACGTTTTGCGATAACCACGTCAAAATCGAAACGAGAAAATTAACTCTGCCATCAGATCGATCGTTACCGTTGAATAAATCGTTCTTATTCTTTTATTAGACTCGAAAATATCTTGATACGAATTTATTGATCGGAAACACAAATAATTTATAATGTGAGAATAATGGTTCGAACATTTACGTCACGAATATCGAGGTCTTAATCGAAGTCTTTTTCTTCTTATCTCTGTTTCTTCTACGTAGAGAGTTAAAGGTTTACTCTTTCTCGAAGATATGTACACGGGACGTCCTTCGTGTATTTTTCACTTACCTTTAGCGTATTCCACCTCGTCGCTCGCAGCCGGCGCGATTTTCCCGCGATTCCCTGGTAGAAAAAAGGAGCGAAACACAGCGTACGGACGAAATAAATAAATTCACGTGCAATTTCGTCGTAGCCGTTGACGCAGCTTCGGTCCCTCCGACGGGGTGTCTAATGTTCTCCTGGCGTCGCCCTGGATCCTGGAGACGAAAGTGCTTTAGCTTCTCCGCTGCAGGAAGGCAAGCAGCGACTTCCTGATTCTTCGCATACATCTTCATTCCGTGAAATGGCTCCTTTCCATCCCCGTTCCACCGGCGAAACCCACTCTTGGTGCACTCGCTATTCCTTGACTCTCCCGAGACGCGTACGATTCGACAAACTGCCGTTCACACACAGAATCCTTTCAAAAGAGCTAGTAATAAGTTTTAAACCTGCTTTATACTAGTTCCAACCAAGCGAAGATGCTTGTCTAAATAATATATATCGATATTTCGATATTTATTTGTCAATATTATATAATTATTAATATTATAAATATATATATATATATATATATATATATATACATATTAAATATTCAAGAATTTCAACGAATTCAGCAGCGAAAGCATGTAAAATAAATTCTAGCTTTGCCTTTTATTTATTTTTAATGTTGTTTTAACAGTAAACTTTAATTGTAATTTTTGATAATTAAAAATATTCTTAATATAACGTAAAAAAGATTACTATATATATAATTTCCTTTATGAACGTAGGAACAATAAACTTTGCTCCGGGCTAAAAATGTATCGCATATTGTGTATACCATATATGAGAAACATAATATGAGAAAAAGAAATGGGAGAGTTGTTTTTCCGGCTATATAACACATGCGTTTGATGAACGGTTGTAAAATCTCGCGCAAATAAGAAGAGCGTTAATATTCAATTGTGCTCGCGCGATTCGATATGCATTCGGTGTACGGTTATAAATATTTCGGGGTCGATTGCGTGGAAAATAGCGGGCCATTTACAAGGCGGAATTTAATGCACGAAATTCACAAACGAGAGTATCGCGCATAGAGACAGTACCGATCGCTCGTAATAAAGTATAATTGCTATTCCGATATATAACGGGGTGCGCTGTTCAATTGATTCATTCGCCTGGCTGGAGAAATACGCCTATACGCATGAGGAAAAATTATAGTCGGCGTTAATGCCGAGAAAATAGCCCGATATATTCGTCGGCGCGGGCACTTAAGATAATGAAATGTTGGAATTACATCGCCAATAATTTGTTACTTCAGCCGACGACGCCGCCAACTCGACTAGTCGTATAATAATTACCGTTAGCCGTTAAACGTGACCAACGTCGTTCGCCGATTATGATGATGATTAATTTTAACGGTTATTAGTGTAATAGGATACCGTATGGCTAACGCATTTCAATTTGTCTACCATGTTGCAAACGCATTCTCTGTATTACTGATCGAAATAAAGCGCCGTCGATCATTATGCATTATGCTCTTTATTTTCACATTAATGTATATCTAAATGTAGAAGAGACAAAATTATCTTGAGGGATAATTAAATTCGATATTGTAATAGAATATATATTGTGGTATATAATTACATATCATATTAGGTAAATTATCGGAATATATTATTAATCTCGATCTCGTTTTTAAAATCGATTTACTGGTAATTATCTAATAATATTAATTAAACCTATTAATACTGTTTTATAACAGTTATTCCATTATCATTGTCAATACTAATTATTATCCCCATAATTACCATAGATATATAGCTGTGTTCCAATCCGATTGTTATATCATCTCGTTTATAATCGGCTAACAGATTGCGCAATTAAGACTATAATTAATACTAGAAAAGAGTTGTTGCAGTAGTAGTGATATCGCGCGATAATTAATGTTTTACGCTTCATTAGCGGCCTCGTCGGCGGAAAGTGCATCTCAAGCACGATTGACGATAACAGATGCGCCTAATCGTGATAATTAATGTGGAATTTAATTCATCAAAATTTAATGGCTTTATCGATATGCTTATATTTTCTTAATCTTGTCAATATAAAGAGAGATTCAATATTATATATATTAACTTAAATATAGAAAGATTTAGAAAAAAAAATATATATATATATATAATTGTATATAAAATAAAAAAAATTGAAAATATAAGGCCTAAGAATTAAAGGGAATACGCAAGCTATCACAATATATATACGGAGCGCATATATTCTTCATAGGATCGCAAGTCGAGCGATGCGGTGCAATGCAGCATCGTTGCAGCTATCCGTTTGCAATAATTTACTAAGAGCATAGCTGTATCGCTGCGGACGCATGTGGCAGCAAGCATCTTCGTCCTCCTCCCTTAATCCAAAGACGTCTCTCAATTTACCTCGCCTCAATTTCGCCTCGTCTCCCTCTCTCTCTCTTACGCGCGTGCGCGCGAGTCTCTTCAATTATTACAGCCCGCGAAGCTTGAGGCATTTTCAGGGCGTTTTGACGATAACTGATGGGACAGGCGGCTCGCATACGAGCCGTCGCCGAGACATTTGGGAGGGGTTGCTGCACACCGACATGCCGCAGCAACATTGTTTTCCCCGTTCCCTCGTGCTACCATCTCACCACCACCACCATCTTCCCTATCTTCTCTTACTTGCTCCGTCTGTATTCAAGCGCAATGGTAAAGCTTCTCTCTCGCCCACGAAATTGAATACCATGCTGCCATTCCCTTTACTATACGTGCTGTCGCGATTTACAACCACGCGCGCGAAATGCGACAAGAGTTTTCAAACAAAAATATTTCATCAATAATTATGCCGGCAAGATATCTCGACATATTTCCGTTTGTGACATATAATGAGGAAGAGGAAATGCTTGTATGAAACTTTAATATTAGCTGCGAGATGTGATATGAAATATCCTATTTGTAATTTAATGAAAGGCTATATATATTTTTCGCAAAAAGGAAACAAAATAGATACGCATTTGTATTTGTAATTTTTTTGCGCGAAAGATTTTTTATTACTCTCGTGCTAATTTTCAAATGAGCGAACTATCTCTCTCTCGTTCTCCGTCCTCGCGCTTGCAATTATTCCGCCATGCCCGAAAATTTATCTTATAGGATACCGTTTCCGTTACGCGTGCCAGGGAAACGTTGTTTTCCGTTCTGGGGCGCGACAGCGTTTTCGTCTTCTTCGCTCCAGCCCGTCGCGACGGGAACACGTTGCTCCTTGCGAAATTTAATTCCGTGCACCGCGATCCCAACCCCAACCCCTCGCGATGCTACGCGCGGTACGATTTATAACGACATTGAGCCGACGCGTATATTCCGGTATTCGTATAGCGGGCGTAAAGTGAGTGCAATTATACGCGTGATAAACGAGGGAACCACTGCATTCTCCGGTATTATTGCTCCTCCCGAGGGAAATGTTAGAATACAGCATGTCTCTCTCGAATAAGCGAGCGATTTGAAAAAAAAAAAAAAAAAATAATAATAATTTATAGCTAAAAGCTAAGATTTTTTTTTCGAATGAAAAGAATCTAACTCTAGAAATCGATGATCGAAATTTTAACTTGTATATATCGTTAGCAGGAATGCAATTAATTCTTAATAATAATCAGATGCATCGGATGAACGAAATAAATCTACGAATTCTCTGGTGCAAAATTCTCCCGTTTCCCTCGATTTTATAAAAAGAATCTTACTTTTTCTTCTTTTTTTTTTTTTCTCGTTAAGGAGTTATTTATACAATGCGCATTGTAGCAATGATCATCCGGCTATTTGGCGAGCAACGCAATTCCGCCACGAGCCAGAGCGGTCCTCTTCGTGCTTCTATAAGAACGCGAGCCGAAAAGATCGCTTTATCTTTCTTGCGTGCCTGTTAACATTTTTCCTTTCTCTCCTTACTCCTCTCGTCCGGTTTTGCCACGGGCAGACATCGCGCTGTTCTTTGCAAAATTTAATTCGAACGTTAGGAGGATGTTTACACGAGAGCTTTTGTACAGTTTTAATACGATGAACAAAACACAACTATTTCTGCCATTTCCTGTATTTATTCATATGCACATATTTACTTGTTCAGCTGTTGCGCTGTTTATCGCGATACTTTTTAATTAATGTATTTTTAATTTGCGCAATGTTGCATTATTGCATTTCGCAAATTTTTATATATTATTGTTTAAGACTTTGAAGAAAGAAACAAGTAATAAAATGAATTTAGATCAATATAAATTTAATATATGCATTATTCTTTAAATGATTAATTTCAATGATATTATTTTTTAGTTTCGCGCGCTAATATTC